CTGCCCTGACGCAGCTTCAGGCCATGCCCTGGCTCCTGTCACTGTCACTGAGCAGAGATCAGTGCCTGCCGCTCCTCCTCCCCTCTCGAGGAAGTTGTGACTGCAGTGAGCTCTGCCCTCAGTCTCCTCCAGCCTGAACAGAGCCGGTGCCCTCAGCTGCCCTCACAGCTTCCCCTCAAGGCCCTTCACCATCTTTGTTGCCCTCCTGGACACTCTCTAATAGTTTAATGTCTTTCTTACACTGTGGCACCCAATGCTGCCTCCAGCACTCAGGTGAGGCTTCTAATGCCACCCATCCATTCTTTTTTGTTAGTATCTACATCTCATCCATTGACTTAATGTTTACTTCACTTTAGCACAGCTCAACTTCCTATTGGCACTTTTGCCAAAATGGACAAGCTCTGGAACTACAATACAGACCCACCAGAGAACGTGGAAGCAAGGAATGGAAAGGCAAAAGCAGCTTTCACAGTAATTTCTTTCTTTCTCCTTGAGGCAGAACATGGATGTCGGGAAGAAAGTGGCAATGCAATTGTAAAAATAGTTTTGCTTTCCACCAGCTGAAATGATTAGGAACCAGCTAGCTCCATAGTCATTTATTCTCTAAAAAAAGACTCCCTCTCCCTTCTATTCTTCCTTCTCTGGCAGATTATTTTGACCTCATTCTGATTTGCCATGCAACCACTTCAACAGCTGTACTGATGCAGCTGATACAAAAAGAAGTCTCATGCAAATGGATTAGATAAGTACACAGACTACTGTGACAGTCAAATAAAAAGGAATAAATTCCACCATTTCTATCACAAGTTCACAAAGACTTTCCCTTACCCCAAAGGTAGGCAAAACTCTAGTGGCTTTCCATATTTTATCACCCTATTGACTTTTCCAGCCAAAAAGCCTAATAAGATATGCTAAAAATGCTTTTCTGCAGGAAAAGCTGTCAGCAGTGAAATCAGGCCAGGCATAGGGGACTTTGCTTCCAAAGCAACAACAAAAAAGCTACAATGCACAAGGCCACTAAGGGAAAGAAGGTCTCACTACAAAAGCATGACTAGAGCAAAATCACTGTACTATGGGGCATTATGAGAACACACTTCTGTTATCAAATCACAGACAGATAGCAGAACAACTGCCCTTCTTTGTACCTGATTTTACATGGCATCTGTAACTTCCCTTTCAGTTTCAGTATTTCTTTTGAGTTATTTTTGCTGCCATTTTTTGTCTTGCATACATGTGACTCCTTTCCATTTCACCACAGATTTCCAGCAAATAAAACCATATGCACTACCATAGCAACATTTTAATACAAACACAGTGTAATCTCTGTCCACTGAAGTACACAGTTCATTTCTTTTTCTCTTATTAACAGAATCTGCATCTGCATACAGTTTAACTGAATGTCATAGCAACAACATAAACATCAATTCAAGATATTTTTTCCTTTGGAGGGCAAAAGAATAAATGTTTTCAGGAAAAGAGTGTGGAACCTCAAGCAGAATGAAATGTTTGTGACTAAACAGGGCCTGAAGTTACATCATCATGGCTGTATATTTACACTTGGAAAGCTTGCTCTTGCACAGTGTTATACATTCTCAGCTCCTACAGATGTCAACAGAGGAGAGCTGTATCTGGCAGGGCAAGGACTGAATCCCAGCTATGCTGATACACAACACGTAGCTGGGACTTGCTATCAGCACTCCCACGAACTTAGAAATCCATGTACTGCTTCAGACTAGAGTCCACGTTCTGCACTGAGTTTCCTCTAATGCAGAGTAAAACTGCACTGTTGACTGGAGTAACAAAAACTGGTCCAGCATGCCTCCAAGGACCAGTGCCAGCCACACATTCTGTGGCATGACCCTCTTTTCCTCTACGGATCAACAATTCCTAATGCCAAGATAAATGTAGCAAAACTTAGAATTCGAATGTGTTCATTCAAAACGGAGCTGTCACACTGACAGGGGGTACAACACTGTTTACCCATGACAACTCAATTATGCCTCATACCCCCAGGAAGTTATACAAAAAAGGAAAAGAACCAAGTTCTCTCCCACGGCTGACTCAGTCCTACCTCCCAGCTATTGCTGTGTGCTTAGCTATGCTCTATTTTTGTCCTTTAAGGTTTGTGAAAGGGATGACATCATTAAGCTTTTAATTTTTTTAAGTAGTGTTTTCATTCAGGACAAGAGCCTTTACTCTTTGTAAGCTGATAGTCCTTCAGCTCAAGCATGCTGAAAAGTCTAAACATTGAAAGAAATTCTGTAACAACCCTACACAGAAATAGCTTGTTCCTTCTGTGACAAATAGTTTATAGAGGAAAATAAATGAGTAAGCATAGTAGGCATAAAATCAAGCACTCAATGCAAGCTGGTGTTGAATGACGAAGATTAAAACAACATCACACAGTTCTCATTCACAGACATGATCTGTTCTGAATCAAGGCAGAGTCCTGTAGGGATCTGTGTGTAATAGGACTACAATAGTATGTTTTCAAAATGGACAGAATGGAAGCCCTCTAGGAAGCCTCAGCTCCATGTCTCAAACTCCCAGTTCTTGACCAGAAATTTAAAAAATACAGAAGGTGCTTTTTCTCTCTTCTGTTTATTACAAGGTGCCTGTTCCAGATTAAGTCACTTGAAAAAAAAACAAAACAAGAACTTTCCTTAACTGCCTATGAAAGTGTTAAAAAACATCTGCCTAGCACAACAGTGCATAAACTTTGATTAAATCAAGAACCTCATTATGATGAACAATTATGACTAATATGAAGAATTTTGATTTCTTATTATAAAGAAAAATTGAAGAAGCTTAGGAAAACTGAATAAAATACTTGGATTGCATTTTGGTTTGTATTTGATCAATCACTTCTGTTCCAACTATTGTAACTGTAAAAATAGGTAAGTAGAACCTAGGAAAGAATAGCAAATACTACCTTTTAGTTTGACTGAACTCTGGGAGATTATTCCCAGCTTTGTCTGGGAAATTTCAGTTCTAGTAACCACCACAGGAATGCTTCTTAATAAAGTTTTAAAGCCTTCTCTTAGGTAAATCTGAAGGACAGATTTAACAGCATCTTCATTTAAAAATAAATTATGTTGCGTTTAACTCACAAGGAAGCTTAAGGTAGATTTATATAAGAAAAAATGCCCACAGGCAAACCCTTTCGTACAATTAATAAAAACCCCCAAGAACTCAGGAAAGTAATGCAAATCACAAATCTGTGCTCCTCAGCCAAAGACTGATCACACACGCATGCAGATCAACACTACTGCCTGCAGCACTCTCATTTTCACTGAGCTCTGAATCCAACAGAAGTGCCATGCTTTTACTCCAGATGAAACATTTTCTGGCAAATGAACTGTGGCAGTTTTGCTGTTCAGCTCTTTTATTGGTATTACTATGAATGAGTTCAAGACTGGCCTAAAGTAATTTGTGGCTACCAAGTCAGTGTGCAGCAATCACTGATGAGGAAAAGCTTATTCACTTTCACTGAACTGAAAAAATATGAAAGCAGCACCTATAGCTAGGAACCTTGGTCCTTTAAAAAGGGTTAAAGAAACAAATGTTGAAACAAGAGGTGGGCAGAGGACCAACAATGACTAAGAAAGAAAATAGAGTACAGGTGGCTACTGCCAGGCAAGAAGAAAAACTTTCCTGTTTCACCAGAGGTTGCAAAACACACAAGAGAAAGGACACACGTTACCACTGGGATAAAAAGTAGTATGTGACTACAAAGGTCTGACACTCTGGCCAAACTTCAGTAGTGAGCTGTCATGGTACACAACTTATTAACTCCAAATTCTTTACAAGGGAAAAAAACCCTTCTAAAACTTTGAACATCTCAAAAATCCTCTCCATGCAGCATGACTGGTGAGGACCCAGCAGTCTGGTGCCCTGAATCACAGACTGAGAGTCCAGAAGCCTAAACCCTCTCCTGTACTGCTCCCTCAGCCTCGTTACCTCCAGAAGTTCCTTCACTGCTTTCTGTTGTGTTTCTACCCACAACATCAGCACTGGAAGAAGACTTATGAGTGAAATACCACCTTCATGGCAATTTAGCACACACCCCAGGCCACCAACACACGAAGGTGCTTGTCTCAAGCAGGAGACACAGTCTGGGAACTAAGGCAGCAGCAACCCCAAAGAGCTGTCCAGAGTGGTTATGTCCAAATGCTGGCTTGGCCAAACCCTTGCAAAACTAAGGCAAAGGCTGATGCTGATTCCTGAGGATGCCCTGGTGCAGTGGGGAGACAGGCTCACCTGGTTTGCACCACTTGTGGCATTTCTGTTCTCATCCTCCAACAGACTCCACAGGCACAGGGGACTTGGATACAGGATAGGTGGTCTGTGATCTAAGAATCTTTTCAGAAGTTAACAACTGTCAGCAGACAATACAGAACAGGATTTTTTTCTCTTCATGATTTATTTGTTTTTAAGTAGGTCAATTTAGCTGATATACCAGTAAGTATTCACAATAACTAACTTCAGGTAGTACTAAGAATATGAGATGCCTAACACAAACATTCTTTAGGAGTCCAGTGTTATTTGCATTAGTGCCAATCTTTGCATCCCTTTCTATGCATTTAAAAGCCTCATCCTAATTTAGAAGACCAGGAGAGAAGACTAAACACACTTGCAACATGACACCCTGAAAACAAAGTCTGACCTCTCCATTAACATGTGTAAAAAGATGCAACCAAGTAAGGAACCAAAAAAAAATAGTATTGCATCAAGCACCCAAAATGTCACTAGAGAAGATCACAAGTAACATAAGACCATTTTCAGTAGCTCAGTGTTACACAGAAATACTGTAAAAGCAAACTGATCTAATGAAATAACTGTACTTTTTTCCCCAGTAAATTTAAGCATTAAGACTCAAGTCAACATATAAATACAAATATATGATCAGATATTTAAACCCAAACATTTGGCACTGAGCTGGTTAGGGAAAAAGGGAAAACGATGCAATTAAAGACTACAATTAAATTAGAATATTTTTTTTTTTCTGGGACCACAATTCCCAATCTTTTTATTTACATCCCTAAATATCCATTATTAAATCCAAAAATAGTCAAGCACTTTAAGAGTGCTACCTTTAAGTAAAGGAAGTTAAGCCAGACTTCTAGGAACTTAATTGTATAAAAAAATTTTTAATTAAATAATAATAAAAAAAAGCTCATTCCATCCTGTTCTCTCAAAGAACTGTCATGAACTGTCCTGAATTTCCCCTTCTTCCACAGACGAAAGGGATGAGCTTTCACTGTCTGAGTTCTCTGCAGGCTCACTGCCATCTGAGGATACAGAACACAAAAAACAAACAAGCAATTAGTTTCAGCAACATTGTTTGCTCATCAAACAGAAGCAGTTTTGTATCTTCTTTTCCTCTTAAGTACTTTTTTCTTTAGGACAGCTATTTCATAAGACATAACCAGTTTTCATGACATAGGATAAAGCCCTGGATAGGACCTCATTGTTGAGGGAGAAAGCAAGACAATCAATGTTGAGAATTCCTTTTACTTTTTAAATCTTGGTCTTTCAGTCAAGTAGGAAAGCAAAGTATTTATCCCCCACAACACTCTAGATCTACTGAGAATTTTAAATTATTCTTTTGGCTTGTTTTAAATGCTGTTTTCTGGGATGTCACAGACATATATCACAACTGTAATGAATTATAAATAATTTACACTTTTCTTAGCATTTCAGATAAGATGTGGAAATACAGAGAAACTGGAAATGGAAAATTAAAATTCCAGATGTTCCAGCATCCCAAAAATAGTTATAAGCTATGTAAGTCCATAAGCTATGGCTGGTGAAGTTCAAGGCACATAATAACTTACGCTTTAGGGCACAGCTATTGTGCTCTGCTGAGATCATATAGTGAAATTCTCATCTCCAAAACTGGTCTTCAGCCTCACACCCCACAGAGCCCTCTTTAACAAGCCCTGACCCTGGTCACCTTGTGCTGATGTCATCAAATGCCACTTGGTTGGTAACACTCAAGCAGCACAAAAATAAACTACAGCAAAGCAGACCCATGATTCACACTCTGCTCTCATTGTTATTTTCAGTATTTGATCTATGAATTTAAAGATGTTTTTGAGCATTTAGTATCAGAGGTTTCATTAAGAGAATGTTACCAAAAGGGAGCTGATGAAGTATAGCTACTGTCTGGTCAAGATAAGTTCTACAGCTGGAAATCATGGATAATACACAGGACACAGTGTGCACCTGTACAGTTTCCAAGGAATTTGTTCAAGAAAATAGAAGCATTTCACCCAGAAACATCAGAGGTCACATTCTGTCTATATTAAATCTAGTGTATAATCAATTAACATTTATATGTCAGATATGTACTGAGTAATGCAAAAAGTAAGGCCTGTGAAAGCTTCCATAATCCCCTGCTATCTTCAGCCATGACTGACCTTGTATGCTGAAATCAGAGCACCTGTAGTTTTTGCTGTTAAGCAAGTCAAGCAGCAGAACATCACATAAAAGAATGTGGCAATCTTCTGACACACAGCAATGCTGAACAGATAGATTTTACTTCTGTTACAGTAATATTTAACAGGAATTACAGATTGTCTTCACTAAAAATAGTATACTTGCATGGTGCTGATAGCATTGCCTATAAATTAAGACTGCCCAATCCGTGTCACCATATAACTGTCTGCAGTTTACTTATAATATAAAATTTAAACTCTTGAGTTTTTCAGTGGCAGTTTCCTTCCTTAATCTGTATTTTCCTTATGTAGTTGAAAGTTTCAGCCAAAATACTTCAGCCATTTCTGAAAAGAAGAATAGGAGTAATAGGCTTTATACTCATTAAATCCTAGCAACTTCTCTTTGAAGAAGTCCAGCTCTAGCTACCACCCAGTTCTTGGGGGTTACTACTTGAATCTCAGGGAGAACGGTGATGTTTCCCTAGCATGTGCCTGTTGCTGTGGCCATGAAAATTTGATTCTGTTGTTCCTGGGGCAGATCTGAGATTGCTCAGGAAGGATACAGTATTTTGGCAATTAAATTATCTCAAGACTTTACTTCTTGTTCTAGCCTGGGTCCCTTGCGAACAGGGTCAGCAGGGTTATGGCTGCTGGAGTCCCCATGCTCAGCAGACACCCTGCCACATGTCCTCAGGAGTGTGGCAGCTGTTTGCCTGGGATGCAAACGGAGGTCAGCACCAGGCTCCGAGCAGGACAAATGTCCCCCCAGGCATGCCAGGAGGCAGAGAGGAAAGGCAGCACTGGTGGCAGTAGGATCAGCAGGATGGATGGCCTGGGAGGAGAGGGCCACTGATACAGAAAGCCATACATGGCAAAGAAACTGGACTGCAACAAACACAGAAGATGCTGTGGCAGAAAGGTCACTTCTTGGGAGATGGGAAGGGGCTAAAATACTTCTCTGATTACAACAGACTTCTCCCTGGACAATCTGGAGGTTAACATAATATTTGCACTCTTAGCAATTATCTGTGAATGCAACTGCTAAAGCAAACTGAAAACTGTTTTTTCCCTCCTATATTCTGTAAAGATGACACACAAAAGAAAAGCACAATGATTGTGACACAGTAACTAAAACGGTACTTTGTCTTCAGGCAGAGTAATACCAACAAAAAAGTCCTCCAACTTTTATATTCATGTTGTGAACATGCTTATCCTCAAAGAATCTGAAATTACTGTCACATGCTTCTACTCTGAACAGAAAAAATACCAAGAACACAGGTTCCCAACCTAACTCAAGGCCGAAGTTGATTATTAATATCTTAATCAAGAAGATGACAATATGTTATGATAAAAGTTGTGAAAATCATGGTATTTTTGCCATTAGCTGTAACTTTTGCTATGTCATACCCAAGACACCTTAACTTGGAGCTATTAAATTTATTTTTATGGAATCTATAAAAACAGTTAAAACAACAACAACAAAAATCAATGGTTCTCAAAACCTGAAATGGCTGTTAGTGTCCTTAGAAGCCCTGCAGGGATGACTACTCAAACGATTCCTGCAGCAGAGGAAGGTTACTGTCCTCAAGACAAACACTTGTACTGGTCTGTGGCAGAGCTGTTGGCACTTCCCAGCTATTACTGGCTCTCTCTTCCCCTCCTCTTCTGCCTTTTACAGAGTCAGGTAGGTGCTGCAGCAGTATAACCTCAAAAAATCGTTGTTCAATCAACACTTACTTGAATCTATACCCTTAAAAGGACAACCTCCCTATTAATTTAGGAGACAATGACAACCCTATACAGATTAAGTACATGAGTCAATCAATTGTAATTCCCTCCTGACCTCTAAGTCATAGAGGTACAGCTGAGTACTGAAAAGCACAGCTCCTACACAGAGAAATAATGGATAAACTCAAAAGCAGCCAGCTTCATGCACTGCAGGGTCTGTATGTGCACTCCAGGGTGTGTATCACAGGGCCTACTTACTCAGACCTGACCCCTACCTTATCCCCTGGTGTGCTCTCACTCTCAGAAGCCCCTGCACAAGGAATTTTTGCATGCCACATCTTTGGGTGCAGACTGCTCTCAGTGTGATCTAGCCAGAACAGCCAAGCTCCATGGAGGTCCAGTAGCACTGGTACAATATTCTCAGTCCCGTATTTCATCAGTCAAATGATAGACATAGAGAGCCATGACTGAGCTGCTGCAGGGAAACAGTAACTGCAAATATATCTCAAAGCTTTTCTGAAAAACTCTGTAAGAATTAGATACTGGCCCATCACTGAAAATTATGGGATATGATCATTAAGGTGACTATGTGGGGGACTAGGAGATGAGAACTGATACCCTATTTTAACAGCTGAAATAATTTTCTAGCTTCAGAAGCAGATGCTGGGACATGAAACCTTCATACTGAGAAGAAAGATGGAAATTAACTTAAAAACTAAAAGCAAATTCCTGCTAAATGTGGATTCGCTTCCAAATTAACTCCAAGATCAAAGTTCTCCCTTGGCAAAGTAATTTTTAAAAGATAACACTGTGCTTTTAATCCACCCAAAAAGCAACTTTCCCATTATGATTTCTAATAACTATCTTACGACTCAGAATTATTTGTCCAATGTTAGAAGCTATGCTAGAAAATAATGGAAAATTATTCCTTTGCATGATTATCAGGTTTACTTAAAATTCATCTTTACCAGACAGCCTGACTCTTCAGAAATAATCAACTCTGTGAAACTTTGCTACATAAAAAAAATTAGCATGAGTCTGAATAGTTGTTTCACCTTAGTGGCTAAAAATATATAAAAACCCCAGTAAAGCACCAGTAAACAAAGTAAGAAAAACACATCCAATACAGCTCATGGATGTATGTCATCAGGCTGCAATTTTAAGACAAGAGCGTTCGTAACAGCTTTTTCTACAGCAATCTTTAAGCTTCAGAAAGAAATATAAGACATATTGCTCATTCCTGGAGATATTCGTAAGTACTGTTTATATAACTAAAATATGCAAGTATAACACAACAGGAAATAAATATATGCTCACCTTGGCCAAGGACCACCATGTCATTCTTCAGTGTTTTCAAGACAACAAATAATGTTGGATACTCAATTATTACTTTTCCTTTCAGATTATCTAGAAGGCTTTTGCTGGCATCCAGTTCATTGTACCTTAAAAATAACAGATTTACTTTGGATTTTAATACTAGCAAGGACATAATGTACATTTGCTGTGTGTGGGGAAAAAAGTAAAAGGCTTTCTGGCATTTCACATGATTTTCAGCTGATACCATGTCCAGAAGAACTACCTTACAGCTAAAATTACATATCTAGTATTATTATCCAACTACATAATTTTTTTAAACCTTCCTAATATCTAAGCATAAATAACAAAAGGAGAATGAAAGTCACATTTATCTAAGGGTTGGTATGTTTTATTATGTCTTAATGAATATCTTTAACAAATCAGGTAAAGACATAGGGTTATCAAAATTGATACATTTCTCAAAATCTGATTCTAAATTGAAAATAACATTTAATATTTTACTTATGGGCTTTAAGACTACAGGTTTAATTTACTCAATTACTAGTGTACCTTATTTATCATTACTTTATTATGAATTACCAGTGAAGCCCTAGGAAGATGAAATAAAAAGCTTATCTGAACAACTACTAAAGCACAGGCATGCTGGAGCACTTAGAGCTCTGTTTTTGTAGGAGAGATATCCTTGTTCTGATACAGGAGCATCACAGCAATGATTTCTAGAAGATGGTACAAATCTCTGCTCACAGCACCATCAGTGAGAAATCCCCACGTGTGTGTGCTCCAGAGGCACAGGACTGGATGTGCAGTCCCCCCCCAGGAAAGGGCTCCTCTTCAGCCCAGAGAGTGAAAGCAGGTACATAACAAATGACACCACAGTAATGAAAAGTAAACTGAGCATCCTCTCCACAATTACTCTCTCAAACTGTAATGCTCTCTCCCAGCTCTTTAACTAGAAACCTGGACGTGGGATTTTGTGGAAAGGAAGGGAAGTATTTCAATGGTTTCTGAAAGAGGGGCCTTGCTGCCTTCACTTACCATAACTGAGGCATCCAAAGGATGCTCTGGTATTATTACGCTGCAATCTGAGTTATGCAACTTTCTGTATGCAGCATTATTAAATTATCAGTAAGCTAATGTATCAGCTAAGGGCAAATGAAGTTCAAAATAAAAATATACTTATAGGCAGTACGTGGGGTATTTCCTATAGCTGCTCTACCTCCTCTGATCATTAACATATTATACAGTTGTGTTTTCTTTTGCCAAAATCAACACGGGATAGGTAGAGGAAATTATATACTTCATGATTTACAATGATGTGTGATTAAAAGCAGTACACTGGGAGTCAGCACACAAGAAGAATATTGGAGGTAAACCAGGAATTGAGTTCCTGGGATTTAAAGGAAACTTAGTTTGAGCAAAAATTCTTTCATATTCAACTTCAAATCATCATGAAAATATTTGGTTTCATGTTTCTTTCAAGCCAAAGTAATTATGACCTCTTCTTACTGAAATCCTTGAAAAGGGATAACAGTACATTACATGTCTTATTGAATGAATGCATTCATAAACTGTGGATTAACACACATGAACAGAAACATATTTACTGCTTTATTTACAGCACTCTAAATGCAAAGTATGGCAATACCTTTCCTTTGGCAAGGACCTCAACACATTCCTTTCTGGTTAAGCAAACATTTACCACCAAGAGGCGAAAGTAATTCACATGCCACAATACACTTTCCATTACCTCATATTTTAGACAAAACATCTTTAGCCTCCAGCTTGGCATAAGATAAAACATTGTACTTAAAACTATTTTATGATAGTGAATTACTGAAGTGTTAGATCACTGAGTCAGAGCTTTATCTTTTTTTGTTGAAGTAAATTTTATTGGTTGACAGTGACAGGAAAAACATCTAAATTTTTAGTCAGTAATGTGGGCCGTAAACTTCAGGAAGAATATAACAAAGAAGCTTAATGCTTCTCTTACTTAAACTTGTCTGTTACTGTATATATTATCCAAAAGACCTAAGTCTACCACATTCTACTTCATACACAAATGCAAGTTGAGGTTTTCTGCTAATCCACCTGTCAGGCTCTGACTTGACTGTGCATTCTTAAAAGATCTCAAAATAAAACTATTATTCGTCACATCAATTCTGAAGTCTACTAAGGAACAGCTCCTGAACAAGATTGATTTTTCAGGCTATCTCAGAAAGACAAGGTCATGATAAAAACCTTCCCAGTTTTATCCCAGAACTAGAACAAAGTCATACATCAGAGGGTGAACAATAGAGACCTATGGGCAAAAGAAGACTGCCCTGTTGGGTTTAACCAGAAGCCTACACACACACACCTACTTCTAATTTTTATTTATGAAAAGGCTAAATCTGTTTAGAGAAAAATAAAATTAAATAGCCTTTTGTACAAGTCTTGTAATTTCCTGTAGTCATTATGTGCAGCAAATTGGTCTCACCACAAGCAGGAGATAGAAGAAGGAGAATATCTCAATCAGATATTACCAGATACCTTTTATCGCCACTTTTACCCACTAGTTTTGTACCATTGAGATTGCATAGCCTGCATGAGAAGAACCCATAAGGAGCTGTAACCTTCTTCAAACCCATCCTTCACTGTGCACTTCAACTAACAACCCAGTGAAACGAAGAACAACCAGTGTAAATCTATCCTTTCACTTGGACTCTTTCATATTCCAGGACCACCTGCAGGAAACTACTTAGCCAAAGCTGTAATCCTAAGTGAGCTCCTTCAGCCCTTCATGCCAGGATGGATTTGAGATAAGCCCGGCTCCAAACTAACTGACCATGCCAACAAAACCATTGCCTTAATACCCATCTTCACATGTTTCTTTTACAACTCCCTCTGCTTTCTTTTTCTCCCACTGTCCCATTCATGCAAATTGCCTGCACTATGGCTTCCTGATCCCTATATTTAGCAGGACTTCTCTTTGCATGTTCCCTCTCCATCTTCTTTTCTTCCTGGTATTTACTTTCCACATATCTTCTCTTTCACTTCCTTATGTTCTCTCAGCCTCCCTGAACAACACCCACTATTTAATAATACACTTTGCTGATTATTTTCTTGCCCCAAGCAAAGCTTTATGCCCATGTCACAAAGCAATAAACAGGCCTGGATTTTTTCTTAACAAGAAACTACTCCATTTATAAGGACCACAAAGAGATGATCTTAGACAACCGCTTTTGATTTTAGCTGGAATGAAATAACAATAACTGCTTTTTGAAGAACCAAAATTAAGTAGAATTTGCCTGCTAGCAGGCTGTTTAAAAGCCTACAAAAATTGTGACAATTGAGAGAATTTGGCAAGATCCAGCAATCCCACATCAGTTCCCATACAAAGCGTTATATCTGCTCTACGAATAGTTGTTACCTTTCACAAAATACTGAAATTAATGTGTCTCTGCACTTCTGATAGCATCTGTGAGTTTCTGCAAAGGCTCATTTCACTATCTATAGTTATTCCACCACCTTCCAGGAATTCAAAAATTCAGTCTCCTAATCTGTCTCCCACAGGCAGGAATGCCACATTAGGTCACTGCATCACAACAAGTTCCCCTCAAACGGAGCCTGTGGCTATAATCGCAGTGGCGTAACTTGTCTCCATGAATTCAGACAGCAGGAAATTCCCTGCTGATCAGGTTTTCCTGAATGTCATCTACAGGAATTTTTTATTATTTAATAATAATAATAATAAAAAAATCTGCAATCTGGAATTAAAGATAAATTGTAGCCATGTTATTTCTTTAGTTTGGTCTTCCGTACACTGAAAAGAGAACAAACAAGTTTTAGCCAACTAAATAATTGTAAATATTACCAAAATGTGGATTTGTGTAATGACATTCATGATTTCCCTGTGAGAGTGATCAACTAAACTGCTTGCACATATTTTACACAAAGATGACTCTTCTTCCTAGAACTGAGTGGAAACATCGAGGTATTTACTTGGCATAACTCAGACACAATAAATCACACTATCTATTTTGGACCTAGTCCGAAAAATCCACAAGCAAGCTTACACTAACATATGGGAAGAGAAAAGGATTTTTTTTCACCAGACCAAAGAGGGTAGCATTTCTTAGGTATCTGCATATGCCTAGAAGGGGGCAAAGACTGGGTACAGCATTTAAAGTCTCTCCCAAGCACTCATTCTGAAGTGCCGCAGTACTGCAAAGATAATAACTAACAGATGGACTTTCATTCCTAAGTGGTGAATAACCTCTTCGTGTGGTTATGATTTGGTGAACATTGAAGTAGGGAAATGCTCTCTTGAATTAGGTATGAAAGGAAAATTGTAGAGCAGAAAGCAAATACAATGTATTGAAATAATGCATAGTATTTATATTTAATTTTGTCACTAGAATGCTGACCAGAACTCTAGAAAACCTAAGCCAGTGAATTTAATTAATCCAGATACATGACAAAATTAGAAAATTCAATGCGCAAAACAGCAGATATCTTAGAAACAAACAAATATTAAAAACCCCTCAAGACTTGCCATAATACTTCCTCTATAACTAACTCTTACCAACAGCAAAACAATATGAAGGAATACTCTTCCTGAACATTCTTTTAAGGAAAGAGAATGGGAACCTAGCCCAAGTTGATATTTTAATATGAAAAAAAAATACTACAGTTTACAGAACTCTTCAAAACCTGCTAGCTTCTCCTTCCACTCTTGGTTACACTTCTTTTCCTGATCTAGGACCTTCATAATTTGCCTCAACAGATGTTCATTAACCTATCCTCCATACTACTGACACCTGCATAACTCAATCAATACCAGTACAGACCAGATGCCTGGCCAAACCCTTTTCAAGTATCCCTATCTCAAGCAACACTTCCATTAAAAACATGCTTTTCTTTGGGGAAAGGAAAAAGAAAATTAGGACAAGAAATGTTCTCTTATCAACCATTTGGACTACAAGTCCTGCTAGGAACCAACTGAAAAAGTACAGGAATAAAAGTTGCCAGCATAGCAGGAAAGCATCTCAGACATCATCACCATCTCTTAACTACACCTACATTCACAGAGCACATAAAGGCACAGCCAATTAATGAGACAACAATGGAACTGTTCCTTTTCCTT